AAGGGACACTGGAGCAGGTGGCAGCTGGTGGGGGCAGCATTCCCTGGTGACTGGTAGGACTTAGCCTCTACATACAAGATGCCATAGGAGCATGGTCTGTCCAAATCAGGTGTAGGGAGTGAGGCCAGCCTACTGTAGGCCGCCATTTCCAGGCAGGACTTGGGAGAGGTGGCATAGGAACAAGTCTGGCTGGTGTATTTTTGCCAGTTCCAAATGGGACCTGGCAAAAGAAGGGCCTGGATACCCCATGGGAGTAAAATTCTGGCATTGTGTCAGTGGGTGAACGGGGAGAGAATATGTTTGTGAGATTGACTACAGACTGTCATTAGACACAGCGTCAGTGTGTGTGAGAGCAGAAATTGGCCAAGCTAACCTGGTCCCCTGCCTGGAAGCAGGAAAACAGCAAAGCACTCCTGCCCAGTTTTGATTTCAACCTTCCTGCACTGAGCACAAAGGGACATCTCCCCAAGATCTCTCAGCCTTAGGGGAACAGCAGCAAGAAAATTAGGTCTGTCCCAACTGCTACCTCTGGGACCTAGCTGGAGGTCATTACAAAAACCAGGGTTTATTTATCAAAACCAAACAACAATGACAAACACTGAATAGGAGCTACAGATGACCCAAGACAGGTTGTGGCAATCCATGCCTGGGAGAGCCAGTGCCTAGGCGCAGCTGCCCATGGTAAGGACAGGGACACTTGTACTGGCTCCCAGGCCCCAGCTACAACTGAGAAAGTGCCAGAGCATGGCAGGCCAGGCCGTACTTTGGAGGAACTTTTCCTGAGGAAGCTGAAGGGTTCAGGCCCACACAGGCTTGTTTCACAGGACACCTTCCAGCGCCAGCACTTGCAAGGCTACCTATCTTCTCCTCCCGAGCTCACAAAGTCAAAGGCAGAGGAGAAGAGAGAGCATTGCTGCACTCACTCCAGGCAGCAATGGTCACCTGCTTTGGCTTCTTGTCCTTGCTGCTTTGGGCCTTGGCAGACAGCGCAGAGCAGAGAAGTCAGGGATCAAAGAGCAGGAAAGCATGAGAGGCTGAAAAGCTCAGGGTTTTCCATCTGCACCCGGAACATGACCGTAGAGAGCCCTCTCCAGACCTTCTGAGGCTTCCAGCCTTGGCGGGGCAGGGTGACCTACCTCCACCTGCTTCAAGACAACGGGGCCTTCAGGCCTCCCCAACCACCCAGCTGGCCCGCTTTGCCCAAGTTAGGAAGACCTGTAAGTCACTGATGTTTGGACCTAGCTGGCCTCAGAGAGGCTTGGGAAGAATAAGCATGCTCTCCCTGCACCCTGTGCACAGCCCCTCTGCAGGCTGGTTCAGGCTCTGGGATGGAACCTGGTCCTTCCCTCACCAGTGAAGCAGGCTAAGGAGGGTTGTTTTCATCTTTTAACACTGGTTTCTTTTCTCATTCATTTAGCAAATACTAGCTATGTGGTAATGAGGCTCCTGTGGAGGTCCCAACCATGGGGAAACTAGTGGGTGACCTAGTTGGAGAAGTCACCCAAAAGATGACTGTAGGGAGGCTGGAGTAAAGTGCTCGCACTCACATGGGGAGCACCCATGTACAAAGTCAGACACATGCCTGTAACCTCAGCACTGGAGGTAGGGGTGGAGATGGGCAGCTCTGAGAGCTTGCTGTCTAGCCAGCCTAGCTGCAATGGCGGGCTTCCTTTTTGGTGAGAAGCACCAAACATCCTTCTCCGGCCTCCGGAAGCTGGAGGGTCAGATATCCAAGACCATTCTCAGCTACACAGTGAGTTTGAAGCCAGCCTGGACTGCATTAGACTGCCTCAAAAACAATCAGAAAGGGAATTTAAAATGTAGAGTTCTGACAAGATGGCTCAGAGGCTAAAATGCTTGCTGAGTCTCATGACCTGAGTTCTATCCCCGGCACCCATATAAAGGTGGCAGGAAAGAACCGACTCCAAAGTTGTCAACTGACCTCCACACAGGCATCATGACCTGTGTGCCCCCACATCACACACACAGTAATAACAAGTAAATATAATTTTACTTATTGGTTTTTCAAGCATGCTTTCTCTGTGTAGCTCTGGCTGTCCTGGAACTTACTCTGTACACCAGGTTGGCCTCAAATTCAGACATGTTCCTGCCTCTGCCTCCTGAGTGCTGGGTTTAAAGAGGCCTGTGCCACCACTGCCTGGCTGTAAATGTTACTGTCCAGGCATGATCGCCTTTGCATATAAATCCCAGGACTTGGGAAGTAGAGGCAGAATGGCAAATTCATGGCCAGCCTGGGCTATGTGTCAAGTTCCAGGCTTTCCAGAGCTACATAGTAGGAGCCTGTCTAAGCAACAACAAGGAGACGGCTCTGACCAAACTAGCAGGAGGCAGAGACCACCCTGGAGACAGAAAGAGTACCTAGGAGAAATGTGTGGTAGGTAAGAGTAGGAAGGGGGCAGGGCAGCTGGGCCCAGATGAATGTCAAGAATGAGCCCCCAAGACCCTGACCAGCAAGCTGGCTGGTAGTTTTCTGCTACAACGGTTAAGTGTGGAGAAGGATAACTCGGTGGCTTTGATCTGAGAAGTCTAAGGGGTCTATGTAGGCACCACTGAAGACCACAGGCAGACAACAGCCAGGAGCAGGAAGGCGTCAAAGACTCATATAAAGACCAGTTCAATACTGCCATGCAAGTCCTGGGGCAGGATGCGTTTGCCCGGGACCGAGGCTCTCAGTGGTGTGGTACTGCTCTCTAGAGGCTACTTGGAAACTGCAAGGTATCAGTGATCTTTGGCCTGACTACAAAGCCAGACCCCGTTTTAAAAACAAACAGCAGCCCAGTGGTGGTACACACCTTTAATCCCAGCACTCAGGAGGCAGAGGCAGGTGGATCTCTGTGAGTTTGAGGTCATCCTGGTCTCCAGAGTGAGTTCCAGGACATCCAGGTCACAGAGAAACCCTGTCTTGGAAAACCATACACAGATAAAGCCTGTCTCAAACAACAAAAACAAAACAAAACCACATGTGTTCCTCAGCTAAGGGCACTGTTCTGGGAGGTGGGGGACTCTCTAGGGTATGGGAACTCAGCCACACCCGAGTCACTAGGGTGGGCCTTTGAAGGTGATGCCCGCCCGGTTGCCCGGTTGCTGGCTCATGCTGCTCTATTGGATGCCCCTTCACCAGGAAGTTCAGACTTCATGTAATAGTGACTGAAGTGGGGACTGAAGAGATGCACCAACCTGCATAGGCTGGAGCCCTCAGCCAGGAAGGAAAACCACTGACGTGACTTTAGCACTTCAAGTCTGAACATGGCCAGAAGACAACATTGTTGTCCCTCTCTTGAGTTCTGTACTTGTTTCTAGAAAACACATTAAAGCCCATACCTTCCACCCTAGCACTCAGGGAGAGGCAGTGAGCTGACAGGTCAGCTGAGCCAATACAGTGCAACTAAAAATAAAAATTAAATTAAAATAAAGTATTGAGGAGTAAATGGGGCATGATGTTCTGCTTCTTCTCAACTAGTGCAGAGTAAAAAAAAAAAAAAAGGTATGTTTGTGTTCATCTCCTTTATGTACATACACACAACACACCAATATGTACATAAAACCTGATTACAGAAGGAAAATGATGCTAAAGGGCCTGCCTGGGTTCAGTATTAGTAGTCACAGAGACAAAGACAAGAGGGAACAACCAGGCCCCTTTGGAAAGCTCAGTAGGTACAGCAGCTGTTGCACAAGACTGAGGACCCCAGTTCAGATCCTCAGTACGGTGCTATCTTATGATAGTGACCCAAACTCCCAGAGCGTGCGTGCGTGCGTGCGTGTGTGTCTGTCGGGGGGTGGGGGATGGGGGAGGGGTGATGCAGGCAGAGCCCAGAGGTTCAGACTCAGAAAGAGAAACATGCTCTAAATGAATTAAAATGGCAGTTAACAGACTTGACTGGTCACAGACGGTTTAAAGGCAAAGCCACATGCAAGTGATGGAACCCCCTTAGAAGCTGGGAAAGAAACAGGCCCTACCCACAGAGCCTCCAAAAGGACATTCCTGAATGAAACACCCTGCTTTTTAGCTCAGTGAAACCCACTTTCCAGAACCGCAACCAAACCTGTTGAATTTCTTTCAAAGTGCCCCACCTGTCACAATTCCTGCCTGTTAACTGTTTACAACCCACATGCTTCTACATTTCAACCCTCCTCTTGATCCCCCCACCCCACCTCCCATCTTCTCCTCAGAGAGGGTAAGGCTCCCTTAGGAAGGCTGTCCCATCATCTTGTTGAGGCAGGACCAAGGCACACCTCCCACCACCCCAGTTTAGGCTGAGCAAAGTATCTCTCCATAATACAGAATGGTACAGTCCAACTTTTCAATTAACTGTGTGTGTGCAGTAGTATCTATGTGTGATAGCCAGAAGTCATGGTTAGGTGTCTTTCTCCAACCCTCACCCCTTAATATGATCTGTTGGTTTTTCTAGACAGGGTTTCTCTGTGTAGTCTGAGCTGGCCTTGAACTAACCAGTTTTAACTGCAGCTCCTGTATGTGTGTGAACATGCCCAAGGAAGGTAAGTCTCAGCTACCCTGGAATTACAAGTGGTCTAAGCCTCGATGTGTTCAGAAATAGTTTTAATTAAGACTAGGCTTTTGGATCCATCACATACCAGTCCTTCAAGGGAAGAAGACAACACTAAAGGACTACCCACAGGCCTAAGTAGGGGAGGCTGGACAGACAGCAAGGCAAACAGAGCAGCTGGCCTTGGCTAGAACTTGCATCTGACACCAGATTACTGAGCACTTTCCCACAGCTGAAGAAGCCTTGTTGCAGAAACTGTGAGCAGGGTGAAGTGACTGTGGGGGACTGGACAAGCCTTAACCTTAGTCCAAGGACAAGGGCCAATCAGCCAGAAAATCTTACCTGTGCTAGGGATGCAGCCACCCGGGGGTGGGGGTGTTTGTCAAGTCACTAGCTATATTCAGAGCCTAATACTACTTCCAGCAAAAGCCCCAAATTATGGAATAAAACCAACAACAACACACAAATATGGCAGCCAGTTTTATACAGATTTTTTCTTTATTGAGAAACTCAAGTCTTGGGTACATCAAAACCAATTTCTGGGAAGGGGGAAAAATTAGAACCCACATAGAAAAAAAAAAAAAAAAAAGTTACCACCTGGGCCATAGCAGAACCCAGAGAATATACTCTTATATAATCGAAAAATTCTAGGTGCCTCATAATTGACCTTTAGATACAAAATGACCTATTGAATTTGCAACTTGTGGTTCTTGGTGTGGAGGTCCACAGACAAACAAGGAAGTCTTCAGACCTTAGCTGAATGCCATGAGGGGTTATTTGGCTTTTGACTCCTAAAAGAGAAACACCAACACAAATAAGTGAGCATGTTGAAGAACCAGATATGCTCAAATAGCATCAGCTGCCCACATACAGCTAACTTGTCCATCACTCCTCCTTCCTCAGTCAAGGAACCCACTAGTCTAGGTCATTCTCTTATAATTGTGCAGACAGAGGCCACAGCTCTGAAGTCACTGAGTGTGCCCGCTTTCCCACTAGAATCGAAGTATCAACACCCTCCTCTGCCCATTGCACTCCCAGGGCAGTGAGCATACCTCACCAACCTCAGACAGCAGGCAGGTTTTATGATGTAATTCTGAGTGTGAGAACTGTTTCTTTCTGTCATTACTTCAGGCCAGTAAGGTGATTCATTTTTATTAGGTGGGGAGCACTGGGTCTTGAGAATGCTGAGCCCCATATGATTAGGCAATTTGAAGGAGACTACTTTTGTTGTATGTGTGGTAAAGGACCTTCTGAGTTGCTCAGATGAGCAATTGGGCACAAGTGATCTCTGGTCTTAGCCACATGGGCAGCTGGGAATAGAGGCAGATGCTGTTATGTGTTATGTCTTTAAGCCCAGCATTCTAGAGACTGAGTGAATTTAAGGGCAGCCTGGGGCATATAGTGAGACCTTATCTGGAGAAAATCAAGCCAAGCAAAAATCAACTATCAAACTTACTTTTTCCTTGTCTAAGAGGTAGCAGCAGCAGCAGCAACAGTGCCCACCCCCACCTTCTGGGCGGCTTCTTTCTTGGCATGATGAGCCTGCAGGACTGCCACAGCTTCATCCACCTGCAAAAGACCCCGGGTGCCCAGTGTCTCTCCCCACCATCCAGACCTAGTGGATGAGCAAGGGATCCCCAGGCCTCTTCCGCTGTCTTCAGCAGTAGGCCAGAACAGACAGGCATGAATGAGAGGGGTCACAGGAGCAGCAGACCTTTGCCTAAACAGACCAGACCTGAGCATTCTAAGCACCCCACCCCCATTCCCTGATGTCACAGGGCCCGAAAAGCAGCTCACCTTGGAACGGAGAGACTCAGGGGACTCCAACATGTGGAGCAGCTCAGAGTTGTCAATTTCCAGCAGCATTCCTGTAATCTTTCCAGCCAGGTTTGAATGCATTGTTTGGATAAGTGGGAACAAACGCTCCCCTGTGGGCAGAACAGTTGTCATCACCACAAGAGTTCAATCCCAGTGAACCAAGCCAGCATCAGGCTCACCACTCTCTTCTATAAGCACTGGGACGCTTACCCAGCATCTGCTTCTGTTCCTGGGGTGGTGCTGCAGCCAGCATCGAGGCAGTTAGTGGCTCCTGCCCCTGGACATGGACTGCAGGCTGTGGTGCCTGTGAACCAGGATAGGCAGTAGGGTTAGCACTAAGAAACTCAAGCTAAACATCTGAACATGTACCCATGTGAAAAAAGAGTGAATGGAGGTGGCCGTCTTGTGCTTAAAGAACTAATCCTGTTCTTGGGGAACTGAAGGACAGCAAGGTACAGAATTGTAGAAAGAATAAATGACAGCCTCAAATAACAAGCTAACAGAAGTCATAGTCCTCTGGCCAAGCAAACCTGCATGCTGGGCGAGCCTTCGCTGGTGTGCCACTCACCTAACTATTCAAGTCCTTGCAATAAAACTCTGGCCACAGGAAACATAATTGTGGTTTTTGTGTGGTCTTGGCTGGCCCTGAATTCTTGATCCCTTTGCCCCCAACTCCCAAGGGCTGGAATTATAAGCATGTGCTAGTTTCGCAGTAAACTGTACGAGTATCCTTCTCTTCAGTTTCTTTCACGTTACTCCAGTACAAACGAACCAGAAGCCAGAGAGTGAGAATCAAAACATTCCTAAATATAGCTCATTATCACCTTACCAGATGTTTGGTTTTCCATGTGGTCTCTTAACCTGGACTGGCCTTGAATTCAGTATGTAGCTAAGTGCTGACCCTCAACTCCTAAGCCTTCTTGCCTCTACCACTGCAAAGACAAGACTACAGGCTATGCCAACATCCTGGCTAAATTCAATTTTTTTCTATAGCACTGGGGCCTGGACCAGATTTTTTTTTTTTTTTTTTTTTTCCAGACAGGGTTTCTCTGTGACTCTGGAGGCTGTCCTGGAACTAGCTCTTGTAGACCAGGCTGGTCTCGAACTCACAGAGATCCACCTGCCTCTGCCTCCCAAGTGCTGGGATTAAAGGCATGCGCCACCAACGCCCGGCCCAGATTTTTTAAATATATAAAATATATTTATATAATAAATATAAAAAACCAAGCAATTACTTGAGCATTAACAGTAACATTGCGCAGAGCCCTAAAAGGCCTTACAGGTCAAAGATAACTCATACATTAGCACCAAGCTCTAAGAAACTCCCACTTTAGAGAATGTGGAGAAAGACACCCAAGAATCATTCACAAAGCAGTTCACATTCTTTGCTATCTGTGCAAGCAAGGCCCAGGCCCAGCAAATCACTACCAGGCCCAGAAACAAGCTGGTTGTACTTAGTGGAAGCTAACAGCTTAGGCGACATAAGCTCCCAACATTCAGTGAAGCCCGTTCTTGTGTGTGTGTGTGTGTGTGTGTGTGTGTGTGTGTGTGTGTGTTGAATATATGTGTGTAGGGGCCAAGGTCAACCTTGGATCTTGGTTCCTCAGGCACCACCCGCCCAAGCTTTTTGACAGAACATCTCCCTGGTCTGGAATCTGCCCAGTATTGCCTCCCCAATACTGACATTACAAGGATGAGCCACCCTGCCTAGCCTTCTGTGTGTGGTATGCGGTATGTGCCAGTCTGTGACACATGTCTGTCTCCCTCCAACACTCACCACCTGATTTTCTAAGATATGGATGGTCTTTCTTGGAACCTGGAGCTCACTTTGGTTATTTATACCGGCTAGCCTACAAGTCCCAGGGTCTGTCTGTCTCTGACCCCACAGCACTGGGGACAAATACCACTGTGCCTAGTTTTTACACGTGTGCTTGGGGTCTGAACCCAGGTCCTCATGCTTTACAATGCAAAGTATGGTCTTGAGCCTTATAAAGACTGCCAACTGAGCTGTGTCCCTAGCCCCTGAAGCTGAGTTTTATTTCTAAGTTAGAGGTTCCTAACTGCCTTTATTTTCCACAGCCAGTGATCAATTAGGTCACTGGATGTGAAGGTGACACCAAGGCTCACAGAGCTGAGACAGGCAGGTGTGTCTTAAGGGACAGGAAACACCAGCTGCTTCTTGTATTCCTGAACTGTTACCAATCAGGGCCAGTGTCTGAACCACCACACAGGAGACAGAACAGGTGTGTAGCACCCGCTGAGAGGAATCAAACCAAGGCATCTTTAAACAACAAACAGGACAAAGGCCTACATGGCTGTGGTGGGCCTCACCTGCAGTGGCTGAATGGCAGGGTGAGGACTGCGGACACTTGCGGCGTATTTGTATGGAGCCACAGCCCTGGGAGCAGCGGCAACTGTGGCACGAGGTGCAAGGCTTGGCACAGCCGCAGGAACGCCTTGTAGGAAGAACAAGCATAATTAAAGCCCATCAGCCTGGGCAAAGGCCCGTCAAATCCCAGCTTTCCCCCTTCTGTGTGCAGCCAATACCACCTCCAGACTGGCAGCTGTCAGTCAGCCCTTGCTGGGCGGCACCAGCCCCACCAAAGTCCATAGCCAAGCGGTCCGGGCACTCAGACCCTACAACAGACCAGCAAACGCACATCAGTGTTGGCAGATGTCCAACTGGCCACGTCCCACGGAAGAAGAATTTCCAACACATGACCACACACGTCTCTCACAGGGCCAAGGGACACCATTCAAGTCTTTGCACATCTAGAATATGACAATCTAAATGTTCCCTTCTCCCCAGCCCCCTTAACAGCAGGTTGTGATAGTGATCCAGAAAGAACATTTTTGGTTGGTTAACCCTTCATGTGCCACCGATGAGCAAAGAATGTTCAAAGTAACCCACCAGGACTCACTTGGCCACTGTTCCTGACTGAAGAACCTGCCTAAGCACACCACTAAAGAGACAGAACCAGGACTTTGGAAAATGAGTCCCAGCCTGACCATGCCAGGGCACAGCTATAGTTATCCTGATTCCCTCCTCCCCGGCCATGCTCCTACAGGCCAGTTTGCTCACCGACTCTCTGAGTGGTAGTAGGAAGGCCACGAGAGGCCGGAGCATTACCAGTTGGAGCCAGATGGCGAAGAGCTGGACGAGGCCCAGATTGCCGTATAGCACTTGGCATTCCTTGGAAGCCTGGTGAAGAGATAGGGACAGCAGGTCACTGACAAGCCAGTTTGAGCTTCAGAAGCAGAACTAGACAGGCACACCCTAGTGAGCAAACCCCTGCTTCCTGCTACCTACCTTGAGGTCTCCCGCCTTGCTGCCAGCGTGGATTAGGCCTCATCTGTGCTAGCTGGTTAGGCGTGTAATATGGAGGCCTTCCCTGAGCCTGTAGGGAATAAGAGCACCCAAATACTGAAAACCCGAACCCACCCACACTACAGTCCTGACTCCCTCACCTCACTACTCGGCCTCGGGCTAATGATTTGGGTGAAAGGATCGGTTGGTGGGCAGCTTTACTCTATCTCTGTGACCACGTAGCTAATGATCACAGGATAACTCCTTCTCACTTGAACACCAGTACCCCAACCCCCCCACCCCAGCTGCAGAACATCACCTGGCACACCCACCTGTGGAACTGCTGGCACAAAGTAGCCGCCAGCTGCAGGCTGGAACTGACTTAAGATGGCATTGGCAGGGAGTGCTCTCATGCCAGCCACACGCTGCATATACTGGTTAGTCAGGTGAGCCTTCCGCTCTTCCTTCCTCTGAGCCAGGGCAACGTACAGCGGCTTCGAGCCTACAATCCTTCCGTTCATCTCAGTGACTGCTTTGGTTGCCTCTTCAGGAGATGAGAAGCAGACAAAGCCAAACCCTTTGCTTCTTCCATCTTCTAACATCACCTACAAAGACAGCAGCTAATGTTGAGGAAGGCACAGGTATCAAAAGGGATGGACACCCACACAGCCCCCCACCGGCCTCTGCTTCTAGGTCTGCACTTAGGAGACAGGCAGGAGGTTCAGAACACCAAGAGCGGCTGCAAAACCCTATCTCAAAAAACTCTTAATTGCGGCTTTTAGTTTTTTTTTCAGGTCACCAATAGCTGTCACCATAGTACAGTGACAGGCAATTACCTGGAGGACAGGGGACCCAGATTCTCATTGTTTTACCTGCCCTGAGCCTGGATTTCCACAACTATAGACCATTAGCCCTGAACACAGCACACAGCCACGGCTTCTTGCAGTCTATCTACAAAGTCAGAAACTACTGCTTTTCCTTCCCTGAAAGGTCACTTAATTGCTTTCTGGTATTTTGAGTGTTGGCACCATCAGCCTACCAAAGTTGTTATCAGCTCAATTTTCTACCCATGGAACAGTGCCCTGCCATGATCTTGAAAATGGCACCAGGGACTTCAGGGTACAGAGCTTTGCTTAGTGCAGGGGGACTCTGCAATGTGCCAGTCAAGCGAGTGATACCAAGAGGAAATGGGAAAACAAGAGTTTGTCAGGACTAAAACAGTTACATGTAACCCCCATGCTCTGGTTAACCACTTACACTCTCCAGGGTTCTTTTTGTCAGCTGGGTGTAGTGGCACACACCTTAATCCCAGCACCCAGTAGACACAGGCAGGTGGATCTCTGAGTTTGAGGCTATCTTGGTCTATTTAGTGAGATTCCATCTCAAGACAAAAAACTTAAAACCCTCTGTACAATGTCCCTACCCCGAGAGTAAATTATACTAAGGCCAGGGCAGGGCCATCAAATCCTACTCAGCCACCCAGTCTTTCTCACTACCAGTGGCAACCACAGCTCCTCTCTAGCAAGCAGCACCTTGTGCCATGCCACACATATTCTAGACACCCGTCTGTCACATTCCCTAAGTGCCAAGGACATGCTAGAGATGATGTCCTCATAACCATGACTACCCAACCAGACTTTGTCAAAAGTTCACATGTACCTGTACCTATGTGTTCAGGAGGAAGTGTGGCAGAGCTGTAGGGACAGGCCCCAGGACAAATGGGAAACGACCTGTCTGGATATTCTCTGCTCTACTGTAGCACCGTCTGTCCCCAGACCGGCACCAAGCAGCAGGACTGGGAAAGATTTGAGTGCTGTGAGGGCCACAGGGAGGACATGGGTCAGACTCCAAGCCCCAGTCCAAGTAGACAATACAAGTATACTTCTCCAGAGCACGACCCCCCAGGGGCATCTGAAGCAAGGAGGGGTATGCTGGACACCGTACTCAGGACCACCAACAAAAGCAACTAAACATCAATAACTCAACAACAGAACGCTGTTTCCAAACACACATGCTCACTTAGCTCCCACTCACCTTAGCACTGGTGATTGATCCAAAAGGAGAAAACTCTTTCCTTAATTTCTCATCATCAATGGTGTCATCTAAGTTCTTAATGTAGAGATTCACTCCCTGGGAAAGGGACCACTGTTAATCACACCTGTATACACAGCCACTTCCCAAACGTGGGCCCCAGAACAACATGCCTGGGGACTTATCAAATTAAAATGCTTGCCTGCAAAAATTAAATAAATAAATAGACACACCAGGCCATGGGGGCACACGCCTTTAATCCCAGCACTTGGGAGGCAGAGATAGCCTGGTCTACAGAGCCAGTTCCAGGACAGGCTCCAAAGCCACAGGAAAACCCTATCTCCAAATAAACAAATGAATTTGGGTAGCGGTGATGCACACCTTTGATCCCAGCACTGCAGAGGTAGGCGGATCTGAGCTGCAAACCAGCCCAGTCTACAGAGTGAGTTCCAGAACAGCCAGGGATATACAGAGAAACCCTGTCTTGGGGAAGAACCCCCCCTCCAAGAAAACCATAAACCCTTGCCTGTAACCCCAATACTCAGGGGGCCAAGGTGAGGGGTGGGGGTGGGAGAAACTATTGAGTGTTTGAGGCCAGCCTAGGCTATACAGCAAGACCCTGACTCAAAAACACCAACCAAAACCTGAGAACTCCAGATCTGGGGCCCAGCATGTTTTGAGAGATGGTTTCTGAGAGTTCAAGGTCAGCCCTTTAAGCTACATTGTTACTTTTTCCAGGCCAGAGTGGGTTAACAGTAACAGTGTCTCAAAAAACAATTAACAAAAACAAAAAACAAGACAACAAAAGGATTCTGGTACAAGCCTAAATTGAGCAACCCTGCTCTAAAACTGCCAGGGCCATTAATGCAGTCATGTCACCTTCTCCATAGCTGCTCTGGCCAATCACTCATCCTCCAGGGTTCTTCTTTTTAGCTACTACCCCAAAGGGGGACCAGTTTAAGAAAAATGAAGCCACAGAGTCAAGAGCAGTAAGTGGACACTTTTGGAACAGAGGCTGGGATCATTGTACCTGCTCAGCAGTGAATGCCACACCTGATAGGTCATGACCTTACACCGGAGGCAAGCACTCTTTGAAAGCAGCCAGCTCACCTGGTAACGACTAATTCGCTCCTGCTTCAGCTGCTCAAATTTCCGTTTTAATTCAGCCTGGCGCTCTACTTTTTTCTGTGCACGGCCTACGAATATTGCTTTCCCACTCATTTCTTTTCCATTCATTTCTTCCACAGCCTAGAGAGAAAATGTATGTCTTTAATGCAGGTTCAGAGACATGGTCTTCTGGAGCAGAGTCCAGGACACCCAGAAAAACCTATCCCACTGGACCGAGAATTTGTGTCATCCCACCTGAAGCCTGCTACACTGATCTGGAAAGCGGGGTTAGCTACCCGCTTTCTAACCCTAGCCACACCTCTTGTTCTTAATTCCCAACCCTAGCTCTAACACCTTCCAAACACCCTCACCTCCTTGCCCTGGAGGAAGTGTGGCAGAGCTGTAGGGACAGGCCCCAGGACAAATGGGCAACGACCCGTCTGGATATTCTCTGCTCTACTGTAGCACCGTCTGTCCCCAGACCGGCACCAAGCAGCAGGACTGGGAAAGATTTGAGTGCAGGCCGGGCATTGGTGGCACACGCCTTTAATCCCAGCACTCGGGAGGCAGACAGGCGAATCGCTGTGAGTTTGAGATCAGCCTGAACTACAAGAGCTAGTTCCAGGACAGCCTCCAAAGCCACAGAGAAACCCTGTCTCGAAAAACCAAAAAAGGATTTGAGTGCAGAGGGCAAAAAGAGGGAGAGAAGATGCATGCCCCCCTCCTGCGCCCGTGCATTTGTATGGGCAGATGCCCTGATCTAGCAAAGGGGCTTTTCAGGCCCCTTTGCAGGCAGAAGTTCAACTTTGGAGGCTTCAATTTCCCTACCCAAGAATGGGTACCTGTCCCAATCTTTCAACAGTAGGAGGTGACAGGTATGAGCAAATGCTGGGTGATGTAACTGTGGACTGGACTGCATCTGTGCTGATGACATGGACCACTACGCAGCCACTCACTGGGCTCTACCGTGAACTAGGTACCGCCTACAGGTTCTTCCCGACACTCACAGTACACTCACCTTATTTGCATCCTCGTGTTTTTCGTAACTTACAAAGCCAAAGCCTTTGGATTTCCCACTGGGATCTCTCATCACCTTGACACTTAAAGTTTTACCTATTACCAAAGGACAGAACTATTAGTGACACCATCTCTACCACATCCCAAGACTTCTTGTTAGTAACTCAGCTGAAGGAATCTCTGGCTGAGCCCAGATAGGTCTGAGGCAGGAAGAGGTAAAACTCAACCAAGCATCTAGGATAACCTCAACAGACGGAGCTAAGATAGAGCCAAGAGAAAAAAAAAAAAAAAAAAAAAAAAAAAAAAGGCCTGGACTATTCATTCACCCTCTGACGCTAAGTGTCCTGTTTCTTTAAGTAAAAAACAGGTTATTTCTTGAGCTGATGGTCAGTACAAGATGACACTACAGACCTCAACTTACCAAACTGGCTGAATAGCTCTTTCAGATTATCATCATCCACTTCCTCCCCAAAGTTTTTGATATAAACATTGGTGAATTCCTTGGCCTTGGCCCCGAGCTCAGCTTCCCGCTCTTTGCGAGACTTGAATCTGCCCACAAACCTACAAAGAAACCGTGAACAGTGATTAGTTACTCAGAAGGAACAAACATCATTTCCAGGGGCCCAAAGGAATGCAGGTTAAAGGCTGACAGGAGAGGTTAAGACATGAGGACCCCATCCACCATGAGAACAAGCTCAGATGCCCCAAGTCCCCAGCAGAAAAAGAAAGAGGCAGGACTATCCTGCAAGGACCAGTCCCAGGGCTCCTGGTTCAGACCAGGGCCACTCCTACCACATCACACTGCCTTCGTGAAGAAACCTGACGACCATGTTTTTAAAACGTTCATTTCTGTGCATCTATGTAAATGCATAGAAAATGTCTGGAAGGATACAAACCAAACTGTTAACAGTGGTTAGTCTAGCAGTGAGAGTCCTGCGATTGGAGGTAACCCTTGCTTTCCCGTTGTGTTCCCCTGACAGGAAAATATCTCCACACCCCACACACAGACATAAACACAGCCTTGTACATTCCATACCACAAAGGACAGAAGTAATTGTTGCTTGTAATAGCCCTTATGTAACACTACTTTCGATTTCCCCCACAAGGTTCAGCTAAGTTCTGTCCCCACCCCACAGTAATGACAAGATGTTATACAGTGTCTCTGCAAAGGGATGGTTTTTCACTGTATGCAAACTAAGCATACAGTGAAACAGAATTGCAGCTCAGAGGAAGAAGAACTAATTTGGTGCCAAAAACTAGCAAAAGACCCACGGGCAGACCTGAGTCAAAGGAAAGCCAAGGTCACATAGCTAGTATCCAGCTCCTGGTCAGCCCAGGGCCTCTCCACTCTGCCGCTGGCCAAGACCCCTGCTCAGAGTGGGCTCAGAGCTGTCCCAGCCCCGGTTGCTGATGCTCACAAAACCCACAGGTGAATTTCCTCCAAGGGAGAGGCAGCAGGCAGGCCATGGCTCGGGCAGGGAGCCGACTGTGGCGAGTCAAAAGGGCTGCCATGGCTCGGGCAGGGAGACTCACCAGCCCTGGAGTGGAGAGGTAGGAGCAGGCCACACTTGGGCCGAGAGAACCAGCAGCCGCCTTGTGTGTGCCAGTTAATACCGAGGTGGGGCCATGGCTGGCTCATGCGATGGCTGTCCTCCAGACTGGGACACTCACACTTTGCGGTCATTGAGGAGCATGCCATTCATCTTCTCGATGGCCTTGTCAGCAGCCTCTTGGGTCTCGAAGTGGACAAAGGCATAACCCTTAGAGCCATTCTCATCACAAACCACCTGTTGAAGAAAAGGCAGACCACCTGAGCATCACTGCCTGTCGCACCAGCCGGGAGCTAACATTGCACAGCTCCACTTACAAATGGTTAGCCTGTGCCTAACCCAAATCAATCATGTTTGTGGGGGGTAGGTCAACCCAGCTGGTTCTTTTAGGATACAGGGTCTCCCATCAGTCTGGAACTCCTGATTGGGTCAGGCTGGCTGACATGCAAGCCCCAGGAATTCTGTGTCAGCCTCCCCAGTACTGGTATTATACAAGCATGCCCCCACGTCCACTTTTTATGTGGACAAACTCAGATCCCTTCTTGTATAGCCAGTACTTTACCAAATGAGTTTCCTGCTGAGCCCAGGCTTTTTTCAAATTCACTTTTTTTTTCTAGATCTGGCAGAGTGTGGTGACATGCTTGTAATCCCAGCACGTGGGGATAGGCCACAGCTCAGATGAGGTTCAAGGTCATCCACAGTACATGTGATATTTTGGAGCCCAGCCTAGATTATGAGATCCAGCCTCAGAAAAGAAAGTGTATGTGTGTTTATGTGGTTTCACTGGGTAAAGGTGCTTACCACCAAAACTACAGCCCCAAGTTCATTCCCTGGGATCCACAAGGTGGAGCAAACTGACTCTTGTTAACCATCCTCTGACCTCCATGAGCACACCCACACCGTGATACAATTTGTTTATAAATAAATAAAATTTAACTCAGAGAGAAGATAGGGAAGGCTAGAGACTGGCTCAGCAGCAGAGCACCTGAACAACATTGGCCAGGCCCTGGGTTCAACTATCAGCCAACAAAATGGGGGAAAAACAAACCCAGGAGATCTGGGTACAAACCAAAGTGCTCAGAAAGACAAACTGTATCCCAAGCCTACAAAAGAATTTAAGTCACCATGTGAAGGTTACAGAATACAGTTAACTAATGCCTCTAAGATTTAAGTAAGGGTTTCTGGAAACAACGGGCTTATGTCCTCTCCTCTCCCTTATCCAAGCTTCTAAAAGTAGGTAACAAAGTGGTATGTGTATGAGTGCTCATGAAGAATAAAGACACAAAAGCACCTGCAAGGCACTAGAGCTCATCTGACAGAGTGCTAGCCCAGAATGCCAAGTCCCGAGCACACATTTGTCATCTTAGCATCTGGGAGCTAGAAACATGACAACCAGAAGTTCAAAAGCCAAGCTGAGCTATATGTATCCCCATCTCAAAACAAAAAATTTCCAGGTTACATGAGGCTGTGGCTGGGATTATCTACAAGTCCTTTATTGAAGCCCCTATTCCCAGAGCGGGAGCCAGCTTGGTGGATGAGCATTTGCCTAATGGAAGACCTCTCATAACAGCTATTCAGGATGTGGAGACTCATGACAATCAAAAGCTCAAGGCCAGACTAGGCAACCTGGTGAGATCTCAAAAAAAAAAAAAAAAAAAAGAGGGCTGGGGATAAAGCTTGCTGGACCCCAGAGGCTTTATACAGAGATGGGGGAGTTGTGAGCAACTGTAATGAAATGCACTGGGTTGCGCACGCGCCCCCCCCCACTCACACAGAGAACAGCAGTAGGTTTGTTAAGAACTAGGGATAGGACTATGGGAGCAAGCTAAGAGAAAGCAATGGGGATATACCCATCAAGAGTATTACGTATAGGCATAAAAATTTCACAATGAAAACATTACCTGTCACTAACATGTGCTAATAAAAAACACGTCAGTGGTAGAACACATGCCTTACATGCATGAGGCCCCAAGCTCAAACCCCAGGACTAAAGGAGGGAGACATTCCATTTCCAGCATTTAAGAAATTATCATACCCAATTGTCCAAGGTACCTTCCCTTTGATAGTACCTTGTTTTGAGTCTTTCTAAACCCCAAACTGGCCTTGAACTCCCAAGATAGCTCCTATCACAGTCTTGAGAGTATACCACACCCAGCTTTAATATTTATCTCATTTTCAAGATGCAGTAATTATTTAGTTAAAATAATTAACGTTTACCTTACAGGACAGGATGTTTCCAAAGGCTGAAAAAGTATCATAAAGTGCCTTGTTGTCTATAGATTTATCCAGGTTCTTGATGAAGACATTCCCTACACCAGACTTTCTCAAAGAGGGATCCCTCTGAGACCACATGATCCGGATTGGCTTTCCCTTAATCACATCGAAGTTCATGGTGTCCAAGGCTCTCTCAGCTGTAGAAGAGGAACATATTTTAATTAAGAATGCTAAACATCAACTAAGATGACTGTCACCATTCCAGAAAGATCACTGAACCGTTACTACCTAAGAAAAAGAAAAGGTACCAAAGTGGCTCTGGGCACCAAGGTCCTCACCATGGACTAAGCTCATGTTCAAGGGACTTTATACCCACCAATGACCACCTTGACACAGGTGAGGAGTCAAAATAGTCATGTTCAGGGCAACTAAGCCAGGTGGTTCATTAGTAAATAGAAACTTAACTAGAGACTCAAGTACAATTTTTTATGTTTTCTTCTTGAGGCAGGGTCTCTAGCTCTGGCTGTCCTGGAACCCACTTACAGACCATCAAACTCAGAGAGCCACCAGCCACTGCCTAAGTTGTGGGATTAAGAGAATGTGCCACCACACATTTTTTGTACAAAAAGTCTCTTAACTAAATGGAAGTGTGCTCAGCATTGCTGTGGCAGGGTAAACCGGCACACCTTTATCTGAGGGCACAGACAGTACAGACAGGCCCTGAGGCCTTGTGGTGCCCAGACCTTTCAAAGGTTTAATCAGAATTCTCGGAACCCTAGGAATTCAGCTGTCTTTCCTTCTGGTAGGTCAGGGAGCTGCCCAACCACACCCACCAGGTACCACAGAGGCACAGTGAAGGACCAAAGATAAACCTCAGCACAGGAAGATCACTCGTTGGAGTTCAGCCTGGGCTACATGAGATTCCCCAGTCCTATCAAAAAACAAAAAAAGTCGGGGCTGGAGAGATGGCTCAGGGGTTAAGAGCGCTGCCCGTTCTTCCAGAGGTCCCGAGTTCAATTCCCAGCAACCACATGGTGGCTTCCAATCATCTGTAATGTAGTCTGATGCCCACTTCTGGACTGCAGGGTTACATGCAGACAGAACACTGTATACACAATAAATAAATAAACCTATCTTAAAAAACAAAAAACAAAACAAAAAGTCAAAGTAGGCGGCTGGATGCAGAGCTCTTAATCCCAGCAGTTCTGTGTAAATTTCCCCCCAAATGAAAACATTCCATCCTGAGAAAAAGCTCCTTAAGCAGGAAGGTAAATAAACAATTCAAAAATAGCTTCAGGAAGTCCCTGAAACTGATCAGATTCACTAGGGCACTCCCTGCCCCACCCCTCCAAAAAAATGCTGAGCTGCCAAGATGCTCAAGAGAAAAGCCATAAAAACTGTTACAGTAGATCAGCCACCTAGAAAAAGCAGAAACCAGCCAAGCAGCCTGGAAGAGGGTTAGACAGCCTGAAAGGGACACTCTACAGCCTGTTGAGCTGCCTGAAGTCTATGCAGTGTGCTTGCTCCAGGTTCCCAGCTTTGTGAGCTATCACACACTGGGGTGGGCTCAGGCAATGTAGCTGTCTCAGGCACATTTCTGTAAGTAACCACAATAAAACTCACTGGTTTGTGGTGGGCTTCACTGGTATCCATACTTTGATCTGTCATGGGCCCTTATCTGGGGTGAGCAGATATGTGTGCTGCACAACAAAGGCCAGCCTGGTCTACATTAAGTAGTGTGTTCTAGGACAGCCAGGATCACAGAGACCCTGTTCTCAAAAACAAAAAAAAAAAAAAAAAAAAGCGAGTTGGCCAGGCGTTGGTGGTGCACGCCTTTAATCCCAGCACTTGGGAGGCAGAGGCGGGCAGATCTCTGTGAAGTTCGAGGCCAGCCTGGTCTACAGAGTGAACACCAGGATAGGCTCCAAAGTTACATAGAGACCCTGTCTCAAAAACAACAAAAAAAGCAGGCAAGCCTATTTCTCACCTTACCCTTCTGACTTCAAAGAAGGACAAGGACTAGCAGTAAGCCTAGTAGTGGGGCAACTGCCCAATACAGCCAAGACCCTGGGTCTCTTTAGCATTGCAAAGAAATCAATCAGCCAAGTCAGATCAGTGAAAGTCAAGTAGAAGCTTGCCCCTAAGTCTGCAAACTTAAAACTATCCCATGATATTAGCAGTTAAGGAGCCCATCCCAACACAATTCCTGATCTATTTCAGACAACACCAGTGGAGCTGGTAAGCCGACAAATCGGGCTGCGCTTATTTATAGCCGGGAGAAGTCCTACAGTGGTATGTGTTGGCACACATACTGACCAATGGCTTCTGCTATCTCTAAGAGACACAACTTGTTCAGAAGCCAAAAGAGCAGGCAACAGCTAAGGGACTCCATCACTCCCCCACTAAAAAAGTTCCCCTTTGACACCCTGGTGGTCGAGTATGAGTACTAGTCTCTATATACTGGATAGAAATACCCATGTCAAGCACACCAATTCCCTGGCCTCAGCTGCAACCTGCCTCGTGGACAGTGAACACAAAACAAGGGAATGGCTGGTGAGGCAATTAACTGCCGGGTAGACTCCAGTGACACCTCCCTAGATTACCCAGGTACCATTCTCCACAGCCTACAGCTTCACCCAGAGCTGAGAAAAGCCCCCAAAACAGTGTGGCAAATGACAGGGGGGTGGGGGACTGGCCTGGTAGAAGCTGCTGGTGACACTAGCAAAGCCTCAAGGCTACGTCAGGAAATTGCTTCCCACTACCCTACAGCCATCCCTAATCAACACAAAATCAAGACTCAGTCCAGGTTAAGGGGCCGGAAGGGCCGGCAGCTTTGCAACCTACACTTTGGAGGGTGCTGCTTCAATCCATTGAGAGCCAGTCCATGCCAGGGTCTATAACAGACCCACTTCTACTTGAGTGGGACTAGACACTACAACAGCCCAGTCACTTTATCCAGATCCCAATTTACACAGTCTCCTGGATTCCAACCCCCACCCCAGTAGCCCAAGGTCATCAGGTTAGCAAGTGGTGGAAGCAAGTCTGGAAGCCGGGGTCATGACCACATGCTCTGCTCTCAACCACTACCCACTATACCTTGATTCCCGTATGGCTTCTCTGGCAACATGCTGTCACGTTCCTCCCCAGCCAGCCCTTGCCAGTTCGGCCTCCGCTACAGGACTCCTAAGGTCCCCTGGAATCTCCCGACTGTAGACACCGCTGCTACTCACCATCAGCTGGCTGCTGGAAGTTGACGTAGGCATAACCCAGAGATCGGCGGGTGATCATATCGCGGCAGACCCGGATGGACAGCACAGGCCCCGCAGGACTGAACTTTTCATATAGCATGGCTTCGGTGACGTCCGAGTGCAGGTCGCCCACGTACAAGGAGGCCATGGGGTAGCTGCT